CAGGCCGAAGGTTCCGCACCACTCCTGCTGCTGCTCCTAATGAGGAATGTCTGACTTCATGTCCTCATTAATCACAGAGCTGATTGTTCAATGTTTAGTTGTTGCTGCTGAAATGTCGTCCCTATTTTCTGCTGATGGAATTCACTGCTGTGTTTTTGGCTGCTGTTTCCGTCCCCGAGCTAACTTCCTTACAGCGCTCGCCAAAAGTCATGATGTCATCAGTGCTTTATAGACGGTGGGAGCAGCATCCATATTTGATATCCGAGTAACACACTGCTTGGTTATGTGCAGTCATCATTCAAGATTCAAGATTCAAGAGCTTTATTGTCAATAAAGTAGTATACACAGTATACAGTGTACCGAAATGCTGTTTCACCCTACGCCCCCCCATGGTGCATTTATAAATATATAAAGGATATATCTCCAAGAGATATAAACTAGGAATTACAATTAAATAACATGCTAAATATTGGTAAAATTAAGGGATAAAAAAGGTACTAATTACTAACTATATAATTCTATACAATACTATAATAACTATACAATATTAACTGTACGAATTCAGAGTCCACTTCGAGATTCTGGTTCTGACTTATAGAGCTCTTCACGGTCAAGTTCCTTGAACTTCTACAGCCTTATGTTCCTAGCAGGTCTCTTAGGTCATGTGGCCAGGGTCTACTTGTCATTCATCATAAAAAGCTGAGAATAAACGGAGACAGAGCTTTTGCCACTGTGCCTCCCAGACTGTGGAACTCTCTCCCACTGAGCATAAGATCTCTGGACTCAGTAGCTTCTTTCAAAAAACAAATAAAAACACATCTTTTTAGAGCTGCATTTTGTTAACTGTTGTCTGTTTTTTTATGCTTTGTTATCCTTGTGTGAAGCACTTTGTGATCTTTTATCTAGAAAGGTGCTATATAAATAAAATTTTACTTACTTACTTACGATAAGCAAAGACAGGACAGAGACAATACAAAGTGGAATGTGTAGTAGGTATTGAATACCAGGTTCAAGTTATTGTCAGGATATTATCGACAAGACATGACAAAGACATGTGCAAAATGTGCAAATATAATATAATTTAGGTGTGTGTTCAGAACTATGTGACTGAGTATGCAAATAAGCATGTTGTTCCCAGATCCAGTTTGTAGTGGATTTGTGGAAGTTTTTGTTGTTTTTGAGTCTTTTGATGAGTATTGTAAGGTGTTTGTAAAGTTGCATGTGTATATCAGGCCTTTTGGGGTAGTGAGATGAGGGCTCTGACTGCTTGGGGAAAGAAACTCTTGCAGTGTCTGGTTATTACGGTTTTGATCCTGCGAAACAGTCTGCCAGATGGAAGGAGGGAGAACAGCGCATGTGAGGGGTGGAAAGTGTCCTTCACTATGCTGTTCGCACGTCGGATGATTTGTCTGTCATAGAGTTGGGAGATGGATGTGAGGGGGCCTCCAATGATCCTCTCTGCTGTCCTCACTATCCGCTGCAGAGACTTCTTTTCAGCGAGGGTGCAGTTCCTGTACCAGATAGTGATGTAGCAGCAGAGGACGCTCTCAATGGTTCCCCGGTAAAATGATGTGAATCATCAGTGAATGTGGGTCAAACAGAAACTTTCTGATTGGTTGCTGAGCTTAGTTATTGTCAGAGTTATATTGTTGGATTGTCATTTATGCTTAGAAACATATACTCATATATGCTTAGAGTTGTATAATCGATTGCATATTGATAGAATGTCTGATCCTTAGTAGTCTGCAAAGACTCTGTGTGCATTCCAGAGCACTCTGGCATACACACACATCCTAAGGTCATGAGAGAGGTCGTACCTTCTCTTTCTGATATATGGTATGGTAAACACATCTGTATTTCTTTAAGTATAAGTGCCTTTTGTTTAGATGAACTGCTGGACTCACAGGTGCCAGCAGATCATTCACAGGGTCACATCTTGACACACACATGTCATATGTTAATTAACTTATGCATATTAATGTAACCACAATAAAGAACAGTGCTATGGGGGAGCTGACTGACAGTCTGACGGGGTTCAAGTGGGAGGAACAATGCTTGACCTAGATCAGCCTCCCTCGTGCACGAGAATACACAAAGAGTTCTGCCTGGTGTCGTATGCTTTGCTAGATGCGATAGAATTGACTCTGATTGTTCCAGGAATAGGCCTGTGCCTAGACAGACCTATCAGTTACGTGTCTACTCTCACCTGTTTCTGTTTGCTCTCTCTTTGCTGTCTCCATCCTGCTCTCTCCTTTCTCTCCCTCTCTGCCTTTGTACCGTCACACAAGTTCAATGGAAACAGTGACGTTTACAAACCAATCAAAGACAAACTGATCCATGTCAGTTTATAACAATATTCAAAGTGAATAAGAGGAGCTGAAGCACAGATGTGAAGAGCAGATCTTCATCAGATTATGATGTCAATCTATTTTGTCATCATATACATTCAGTCTGTGTTTATAATGCAGATTTTCTGCTTTTATAATAACACATTTCATATTTTCTATAATCACAGACTGACTCAGTGTGGACTCTCAGTGACTCACTGTGAAGTTGTGGCCTCAGCTCTGAAGTCCAACCCCACCCATCTGACAGAACTGGACATGAGTGGAAACAAGCTGCAGGACTCAACAGTGAAGCTTCTGTGTGCCGGACTGGAGAGTCCAAACTGTCGACTGGAGACTTTGAGGTGAGTTCACTGACTGCAGCTGTTGTTGTTTTTCTGTATTTCAAAACTTTGATTGATGTTTGAAACTTTCTTTAGTTCTTAAGTGTTCGGGATGTGTCTGAAGACAAATGTGAAGAAGTTTGAGTGCTTTCAGAAATGTTGTGTCTTTCCAAAATGACTGAAAAACAGTTTTTCCTTTTGGCTCCAAA